TGTGAATAGAGTGAAAGCTTCAAGAAGCTTCCAAGAAGTGAGTTGATTAAGCATGCCACCACAAGACATAATAGAGAATTTAGAGAGTGATGGAGATGTGCAGAAGATGATGCCTGGTTCACCATCGCTAGGAAATCCTGGCTATAGACTAGATAAGGAGGTCTAGCTTCCCGCGATCATTCAAAGACCCAGAACATCAACCATACCATTTTATTTCTCGTGTCAGGGCAGCCAGTCAATTATATTACATTTCTAACAGAACAAAGCAAACAAACAGACAAAATACAAAATTTGTGAGTTTGGTAGTTGATTAAATGTCCTTTGACCAGTATCTGGCCACTTGGAGTGCTTCTAGTGTTGCCGCAAGGAGGTCCTCCATTGTGCATGTGGCAGGGCTCAGGGTGCATTGCAGCAGGTGGTCAGTGGTTTGCTCCTCTCCGCACTCGCATGTCAAGGATTCCACTTTGTAGACCCATTTCTTGAGGTTGGCTCTGCATCTCGTGGTGCCAGAGCGCAGTCTGTTCAGCGCCTTCCAAGTTGCCAAGTCTTCTGTGTGTCCAGGGGGGAGTCTCTCATTGGGTATCAGCCATTGGTTGAGGTTCTGGGTTTGAGCCTGCCACTTTTGGACTCTCGCTTGCTGAGGTGTTCCAGCAAGTGTCTCTGTAGATCTTAGAAAACTATTTCTTGATTTAAGTCTTTGTGGCGTGCTGGCTGATAACCAAACAGGGGATGAGCTGGAGATGTCTCTGCCTTGGTCCTTTCACTATTGGCTGCTACTTCCCGGCGGATGTCAGGTGGTGCAATACCGGCTAAGCAGTGTAATTTCTACAGTGGTGTGGGGCGCAGACACCCCGTGATAATGCGGCATGTCTCATTAAGAGCCACATCCACTGTTTTAGTGTGGTGAGATGTGTTCCACACTGGGCATGCGTACTCAGCAGCAGAGTAGCACAGCGCAAGGGCAGGTGTCTTCACTGTGTCTGGTTGTGATCCCCAGGTTGTGCCAGTCAGCTTTCGTATGATATTGTTTCTAGCACCCACTTTTTGCTTGATGTTCAGGCAGTGCTTCTTGTAGGTCAGAGCACGGTCCAGAGTGATTCCCAGGTATTTGGGTGCGCTGCAATGCTCCAGTGGGATTCCTTCCCAGGTAATCCTCAGAGCTCGGGATGCTTGTCTGTTCTTAAGGTGAAAGGCACATGTCTGTGTTTTAGATGGATTAGGGATCAGCTGGTTTTCCCTGTAATAGGCAGTAAGAGCACCTAGAGCTTCGGAGAGCTTCTGTTCTACCATCTCAAAGCTCCCTGCTTGAGCAGTGATGGCACGATCATCAGCATAGATGAAACTCTCTGTCCCTTCTGGCAGTGGCTGGTCATTTGTGTAGATGTTGAACATGGATGGAGCAAGCACGCTCCCCTGAGGCAGGCCGTTCTTCTGTTTCCACCATCTGCTTCTCTGGCCCTGGAATTCAACAAAAAAGCTCCTGTTTTGTAGCAGGTTTCCTATGAGGCGGGTGAGGTGGTAGTCCTTTGTGATATTATACATTTTTCTCAGGAGGAGGCGGTGGTTCACAGTATCATAGGCTGCTGACAGGTCTATGAAGACAGCTCCTGTGATCTGCTGCCTTTCAAAGCCATCTTCTATGTGCTGAGTCAGGTTCAGCACTTGCGATGTGCAGCTTTTGCCTTTCCTGAAGCCAGCTTGCTGTGGGATCAGACAGGGGTCTATTTTTACCATAATTCTATGCAAAATAATTCTCTCCAGAACTTTGTAGAGGTGGCACAACAGGGAGATTGGTCTGTAGCTTTTTGGATCATTACGGTCTTACCATACCATGGAACGGAATGAGATTGACCAATTCCAGTGGAGATCCTTGGTGGTTGTCAGTCCTTAAATCTATGTAAGGTTTCTTGTAATGGAAATTTACGAAGAAAAGGAATTCCATCCACTCTTCCTTCTGACTTTCTCTGGTTTTCTTTTGGACTTCCATGCCTCCAACCATTTGCGTGGAGTTAGAGCCATTGTTGTGCAAGGGAGTGCATTCGGCGACGCTGCCTGTTGCATGACAAGTTGTCCAACCACACGATCCCGTCCTGCAACCTGGTTTTACTTGCATCATTTCACACGACCCAACTGGTGGTGATTAGTACCAGCCTACGTAGTAGTCATACAAATGGATACGTCTTCACCACTTTCATCTCCCTTTCCCTTGAAAGCAGTCTTAGGGTTCTTATCCCTGAAACATTTGTGAACATGTGTGCACGACTCAAAAAACCAAAATTAACAAAATTCATGCAATCCCTCTTTGTTAGTTTTTGTTACGTTATTTGCCTGTTTGGGCCAATGGGATGAAACTTGCTGAAATTGTAGCACACCTTTACCACACTGAGCCCACCAAGTTTCAGAACGTTTTGCTCTTCCACTGATTTTGCTCCTCCACTGACTCAAAAAACCTAAGTTAACAAAATTCATGCAATCCCTCTTTGTTAGTTTTTGTTACGTTATTTGCCTGTTCGGGCCAATGGGGCTCCTCCCTCCCTCATTTTTAGGGCTATTGGGATGAAACTTGCTGAAATTGTAGCACACCTTTACCACCCTAAGCCCACCAAGTTTCAGAACGTTTTGCTCCTCCACTGATTTTTAGGATATTTTCAAAGTTTTTATGAACAACATAAAAAGAGGGTTGTTGTAGGTTCCCTTGCTATTTCACGGTTTGCTTTACGTGGACTTGCTGTTTTGCAGATTTCAAAAAAAAAATTAAATATTTACTTTACAACGGGCCTCAGAAAGGGAGGTTGGTGTGTGTCCCCTCGCGTCCTGTCGCTTTTCTTAATGTATAAATAATGTATAAATATTACATAAATATAAATAATGTATAAATATTACATAATATAAATAATTTATACATATTACAATTAATGTAATATTTAATATATAAATAATGTGGAAGTATTACAATTAATATAGCGTTCCTACTATGCGGATAGTCCGCATAGTCAAAGCTATGGTATTCCCTGTAGTCACCTACAGATGTGAGAGCTGGACCTTAGGGAAGGCTGAGCGAAGGAAGAGAGATGCTTTTGAGCTGTGGTGTTGGAGGAAAGTTTTGAGAGTGCCTTGGACTGCGAGAAGATCCAACCAGTCTATCCTCCAGGAAATAAAGCCCGACTGCTCACTGGAGGGAAGGATACTAGAGGCAAAGTTGAAGTACTTTGGCCACATCATGAGGAGACAGCAAAGCCTAGAGAAGACAACTATGCTGGGGAAAGTGGAAGGCAAAAGGAAGAGGGGCCAACCAAGGGCAAGATGGATGGCATCCTTGAAGTGACTGGACTGACCTTGAAGGAGCTGGGGGTGGTGACGGCCGACAGGGAGCTCTGGCGTGGGCTGGTCCATGAGGTTACGAAGAGTCAGAGATGACTGAACGAATGAACAACAACAACAACTTTGCGGATTTTCACTTATCGCGGAGTGTCCTGGAATGGAACCCCTTCGCTACAGTGTTCCCTCGCTACTTCACGGTTCATTTTACGTGGACTCGCTGTTTTGCGGATTTTCAATTTTTTTTAAAAAAATATTTACATTACAACAGGCTTCAGAAAGGGAGGTTGGTGTGTGGTCCCTCGCATCCTGTCGCTTATTTGCTCATCCCTTAATGTATAAATAATGTATACATTTTACATAAATATAAATATTACAATTAATGTAATATTTAATGTATAAATAATGTGTAAGTATTACAATTAATATAGCGTCCCTACTTCGTGGATTTTCACTTAATGCTGCGTGTCTTGGAATCGAACCCCTTCGCTACAATGTTCCCTCGCTATTTCGCAGTTCGCTTTACGTGGACTCGCTGTTTTGCGGATTTTCAAATTTTTAAAAAAATATTTATATTACAACGGGCCTCAGAAAGGGAAGTTGATGTGTGGCCCCTCGCGTCCTGTCGCTTATTTGCTCATCCCTTAATGTATAAATAATGTATAAATCTATATAAATAAAAATGTAATGTTTGTTTGTGGGATTAACAGAACTCAAAAACCACTGGACGAATTGACACCGAATTTGGACACAAGACCTAACAACCCAAAGTAGGGACAGCTAGTATTACATAAATATTATAATTAATGTAATATTTAATGTATATATAATGTGTTAATATTACAATTAATATAGTGTCCCTGCTTTGCAGATTTTCACTTATTGCGGGTGGTCCTGGAACGTTACCCCCGCAATAAGTGAGCTAACACGGTATACTCTTTCTATCTTCCTATCCATCAATCCATCCTTCATTCCTTCTACCCTTCCCTCCTTCCTTCCTTTCCTCATTGATCCTCTGAGGATGCCATTAGCCACAAACACAGGTGAAATGTTAGGAGAGAATGCTGCTGGAACATGGCCACACAGTCAGAGGCAACCCTAGGTAATTTTCAACGGTAAGCAAGCAGTATTTTAGTGTCCCCGCACAACCAATCACTGATATATATTTTCTCTTCGTCGTGGGAGTTCTGTGTGCCATGTTTGGTTCAATTCCATCATTGGTGGAGTTCAGAGTGCTCTTTGATTGTAGGTGAACTATACATCCCAGTAACTACAACTCGCATATGTCAAGGTCTATTTTCCCCCAAGAGTGCCTCAAGAGCGCCCCTGGGCAAAATCAATTATACTGCAAAGGCTTACTTTGCGTAACGGTTTAGCCGCCCCTGCATACAGTCCAAAAAACTCACAGTAACTCAGTGATTCCAGCCATGAAAGCCTTTGACAATACAGCGAGTCCTGCCTTGAGAAAGCTGTCAGGAGAACAGGCTGTGGGAGTGATATGGAGGCAGGCCAGGAGAGCACCGACGAATCGTCTCAAAGTCACCCGACGGTGCTCTTCCAGACAATGAGTTTCTTTGCTCAGCTGCTCCGCCTTCAGAAAGAATAATCTATGGTTGGTATATACACCTATCCCAGAATATCTAGTTGCTTCAATGCAGTTGAACCACAGTTGACTCATTGGCTTCCGAAGCTCTCATGGTGTTTCTCCTGGCTCTTTTGTCCCAGGTGGCCAGCCTGGCGGCCACTCTTTTCTCCCTACTGCTGTCATGGGCCCTTTTCTACCATTTCTCCACCACCCAAATGCCTGCTGGAATTGGTCAGCCGTTGAAAGTCAGGATCCTGCATGTTTGCAGCATCATGGTTTACTGCCTGGTGAGTTTCTGCTTGAGGTTCGGCTTCATGTCCATGATTGAATCAAGAAGATAGGAAGGAACTGGGAAACAAGGTATTCCCATGTGTACAAGTGTGCAAATTTCTCGCACAAGTCCATGTGGAAATGTCAATCAGCATATATATGTGCTTGCATCCATTGTCTACTTTCCCCATATGTCTCTCTCTCTGTGTATACCCACCATGCGTTGTACCCACCACACGTTGCTGTGGCCAACCTTCCCTCCCTCTTTCTCTTCTTTCTTTCTCTCCTTCCTTTCTCGCTCTTTCCTTCCTTTTGCTGAGTTTTTCAGTGCTTTTATGAGTGATGGTCACTCGTTGGCCTGAGATGAGTCTTGTGTCCAAATTTGGTGTCGATTTGTCCAGTGGTTTTCGAGTTCTGTTAATCCCACAAACTAACACTACATTTTATGTATATACTAGCTGTACCCGCCACGCATTGCTGTGGCCAACCTTCCCTCGCTCTTTGTCTCCTTCTTTCTTTGGGGGGAGATGTAGTTCATGCACGCACACACACACACACATACACATATGGGTGTGGAAAATATGGTAATGTCTATGTCGAAAGGAAGTTGTGGAGAATACCTACATGGATGTTAATTTTACTATATTTCCTCAACTCTCCCCTCAAATACACACAGTCATGTGGGAAATAAATGGCTCTGCTGGAGTGCATGTCTTGAGGGGTTATTGTGGGGATGATCTTGCATGTGCATTAATTCCACTATATTTTCACAACTCCACACACCCATACGCACTCACTGTTGCTCTGCCAACATGTGTATGTTGCCAAGTTGTAAAAGATAGATAGATAGAATGATTTTCAATTCATATAGCAGTTCAAAAACATGCAAATGTGAGTAGAGCAATAGGTACCACTCTGGCAGGAAGGTAAGGGCGCTCCATGCAGTCATGCCAGTGGCCACATGACTTTGGAGGTGTCTATGGACAATGCCGTCTCTCTTTCTCTCTCTCTACCTCTCTGTACCTCTCTGTGGAAACCTTTAGCTTTAACCTATACACACACACACAGTGTGGATATGCTATTGTGTGTTTTGTTTCGTGAACAAATTGTGGGACTATAGATATCCTACGCTACCTTCCCAACTGTCCTCCCTCCCTGACAGGGGCAGACCCCCCTCATTGGTCGGGCTCTGCCCCCCAGCTCCTGGCTCCCCCCTGCTTTGCTTGGCTTCACCATCCCCACCAAGTTGCAACGGAAATGGCTGTGACGGGCTCTGAGCCTGGGGTCTCTACTAGGGCTGGGCAACCACGGAAAAATTTGTTTCTAAACTCGATTCGTTTTTAGGGGTTTTTTGCGTTTCGTTTTTAAAAAGAATTCAGAAATTTTCCTTTAAAAAAGTTCGAAATATACGAAATTTCGTAATATTACGAATCAATTACGAATCGATTTCGAAACAATTACGAATCGATTCGTGATGGCGGACGCGATTGCCCACTATGCTAAAAAACCCTCCTAATGGGACAGGGGGAACTTCTGAAGCTTCCTTCTCCCTCTGTTGTTGACTGTTGGTGTGATAATTTATTTTTTAACCCTAAAACTTGCACCAGACATATGGAAATAATTACAAAACAATAACGAAACGATTTCAAAACAATAACGAAACGATTTCGAAACAATTACGAAATAAATTGAAAAAATTCGTTTCGATTTTTAATTAGTCCTGCATGGTTCAATATCGGATCGTAAGCTAAATTAAATACGAATTAATAACGAATTACGAAATTAACGAACGAAACCACCCAGCCCTAGTCTCTACTGCCACTGCTGCCTGTGCTTCTGCCTCCTCCTCCTCTTCTTCTTCCTCTATGTGGGTCCCCCTTCAGTCTCTCTCCTGCCTCAGAAGCTTGGTGGGGGCTGGAAGCCTTGGAAGTGCCCACCTTTGCAAAGGCAACGGGAAGAGCCAAGAGGAGGGGAGAGAGGAGGTTGCCTCACTCTCTCTCTCTCTCTCTATCCCCCAGGCTGTGCAAGGCATGCTCTCCCCTCTTTCCCATGCTTCCTTCTTTCTTTCCTCCCTTCTTCCTTTCTCCCTTTCCTCCGTCGCCACAGCAGGCAAGGAGGAAGGTGAAGAGGAAGGGGTCATGCTGCCGTGAGGGAGGAAGCTCCCTGCCACGGTGAGGGAGGGAGCTCGGTGCCGCTCGCTGTGCCAGTTCTGTTTGTATGGCCGTGCGTGTGCACGCACTTGGCTCTCAATGCTGTAACGGCCGCTCTTCCCTTGTGTGGATTTTTGTGTTTTCTGTTGTTTCTTTGGGGGGTTTTTTTGAGTGGAGGACATAAATTGGGTCGTTAGGTGTATCGTGTCCAAATTTGGTGTCAATTCCCCCAGTGGAGTTCTGTGAATACCACAAACGAACATTACATTTTTATTTCTATAGACTAGCCTTGCCCTGCCATGCGTCGCTGTGGCCCAGTCTGTGTATATGTGTTTTTTTTTTAAAAAAATTTTTTTTATTGGTTTATCACAATTGTTACATACTATTGCATTTTATACATCAGCCTCTTTAACATGTTATTTTGTTGTTTTACCTTGACATTTCCTCCCCTTCCTTTTTTTTCACCTCAGTGCTCCCCTCCACCCGTCTCAAGCCACATTTCTTACATTTCATCTGTCCAAAATTTCATTTCTTCTTGTGACGGTAATTTTCCTTCCTTATTTTTTAATCCATTTACCACAAATTTTCCCCATATAGCATCAAAATCACTTTGTTTCCATATACCTTTTTTAACCTTTAATATACATGTCAGTTTGTCATTTAAAGCTATTTTCCATGCTTCCTTATACCACTCCTCTATTTGTATATTCATTTCTTTTTTCCAATTCCTTGCTATGAGCAGTCTTGCTATAGTTAGTAAGTTTGTTATCGCTTCTTTATCCTCCTTTTTCAATTGCTTATTGGTATATAATGATAGTAAGGCTATACTAGGACTTTTATCTATTTTCATATTCATTATAATTTCTATTTCTCTAAATACTTTCTCCCAAAAATTATTTACATATTTACATTGCCACCACATATGTATATATGTTCCTGGTTCTTGACACCCTCTCCAACAATTTATTGAGTTATTTTTATTCATATATGCTATTCTTACCGGTGTCAAGTACCACTTCCATATTAACTTATAATAATTTTCTTTAACTCGTATCGATAAATTTTTTAAATGTCTTTGTCCCCATAATTGCTGCCACTCTATTTCACTTATTTTTATCCCTAAATCCTCTTCCCAAATCTCCTTAAGGGTACACTTTTTTATTTTTCCATCCTTCATTTCAATTAGTATCTTATAGATTTTGCTATTTATACCTCTCAAGTTTTCGTGTTCTTCTACTGCCCTTCCCTTCTGTATTATTTGTTCGAATTGATTGAGTTGGCTTCCATTTCTATTATTTTTTTTCCAGTTTATTAACCATTGTTCTAATTGTATACAATGAAACCATGATAATTTTATTTCTTTAAACTCTTCCAACATCCTTTCCCTCTTCATTTCCACTTTCATCCAATCCCCTATTCTATCTAAATTTATTTCCCTTACCTTTTTATCCATTGCTTTTTTAAAATTTTTTGGGAATTTCTTTTCCATCACTATTGGGGTTATAATTGATCCTTCCTTTATTAACCTCCCCTTGTATTTATTCCATACTTTCAATATGTTACTCAACATTGGGTTTCTAATTTCCCTCAGTTCTTTTCTAGTAAGCTGTTTAAAAAATATATTCCAAGTTTCATCTTCCACTTTTCCTGAATCATTACTAAGCCAATCTATTCCCTTTTTTTTAACCATTCCTTCTATAACCAAATTTAGTCTACTTGCATCATAATATTTTTTTATATTAGGTAGTGCTAGTCCACCCTCCTTTTGCGATCTATACCATAGCTGTTTGTTTAACCTGTTTCTTTTACTTCCATTGCAATATTTATTAATCATTTGTTGCCAATTCCCCCAGTGGAGTTCTGTGAATACCACAAACGAACATTACATTTTTATTTATATAGACTAGCCTTGCCCTGCCATGCGTCGCTGTGGCCCAGTCTGTGTATATGTGTTTTGTGTGTGTATATTAGGCCTGTGCGGTTTCGTTCGTTAATTCGTTAATTCGTTATTAATTCGTTATTTTTGGCATTTCCGAAGCGATATTGAAACATATTTCCAAACCCGGAAGGGTTTTTAAATATCGAACCAGCAACCCCCATAGTTTTAACGAGCCTCCGCTCGTTTCGTTAATGGGGTGGAGGCTGCTGGAGTGCTGGTGCCTGGGAGCCAATCCGGCGCTCCCAAGCAGTGCACCATGGGTCCGTGGCTGTGTCTGTTTTTGATTGGCCGGCGAGCCCTTTCAAAGCGGCTCCGCGCGGCCCGTAGCTTGCTGGAGGGCGAGGGAGTTTGCATTGGGTTGGCTTGGCAATGGCTGCTAGCAACTGGATTGGATTCATTCCTTGCTGCTGTGAGTGCTGCTTGCTTCATTTGCTGTCTCTTGCCTGTGTTTGGTCCACATTTGGGCCATTTTTTGGTTAATTTTCCATTTAAAATATTTTTAATATTATTTTTTAATATTATTTTTTAATATTATTTTAATATTCTTAAAAAATATTCTAAAAAAGAAAAGACTCTTCTGTTGGTGTGTGCTCTCATTTGCTGTATCCTGCCTGTGTTTGGTCCACATTTGGGCCATTTTTGGTTAATTTTCCATTTTAAAATATTTTTTAATATTATTTTAATATTATTTTTAATATTATTTTAATATTATTCTTAAAAAATATTCTAAAAAAGAAAAGACTCTTCTGTTGGTGTGTGCTCTCATTTGCTGTATCCTGCCTGTGTTTGGTCCACCTTTGGGCCATTTTTTGGTTAATTTTCCATTTTAAAATATTTTTTAATATTATTTTAATATTATTTTTTAATATAATTTTAAAAATATTTACAAAATTTCGTAAATACCAAAACTTTTTTTGGAAAGTTTTGTAATTATTTTAAATATCGAAACAAAAAAACACCCCAATTACAAATCGATTTTAGAAACAAATTTTTTCTTGATCAAACAGGCCTATATATGCACACGTGTGTGCAGATCGGCCATATCCTCTCTATTCACCTCAATAAGCCTGAGGGCGAGGAAAAGCCAGCGAAGGCGGCACCACGATGATATGTCATAATGGGAAGAGAAAGGCAGATTAGTTCTTGATCAACATGCCATTCCAGTTCTTAGGGAGGAGAAAGGCAAAGCAGGGAGAGGATGTGGGAAGGACAAGGCAGGTCTGTGGGGAGAGAATGAAGTAACACGTCGTCGAGGTCTACGAATCTGCAGAAAGCTGCGCAATGCAATCCTATACTCAGCATTACATAGTGTAATCCTGTAATCCAACGCTATGCGGACACAAGTATTCCAGATCTGGAGAAATAATAATCTAAAATCTGACAAATGTGTAGACACAAATTTTGTCTAAGGCAGCGTTTCTCATCCTGGGGGTTGGGATCACTGGGCGAGGGGGTCGCGAGGGGGTGTCAGATGGGTGGGGTTGGAGGGGGATTGAGTTTGTCAATTGTACTTACTCCCATTGGGTGTCAGAGACCATCAGAAATCACATTTTTTTTGTTGATTATGGGGGTTCTGTGTGCTAAGTTTGGCCCAATTCTATCGTTGGTGGGGATCAGAATGATCTTTGTAGGTGAATTATAAATCCCAGCAACTACAACTCCCAAATGTCAAGGTCTATTTTCCCCAAACTCCACTTGTGTTCACATTTGGGCATATTGAGTAATTGTGCCAAGTTTGGTCGAGGTCTACCATTGTTTGAGTCCACCTGGATGGAGGTGAACTACAACTCCCAAACTCGAGGTCAATGCCCACCAAATCCTTGCAGTATTTTCTCTTGGTCACGGGATTTCTGCCTGCCAAGTTTGGTTCAATTCCATCGTTGGTTGAGTTCAGAATGCTCTTGGATTGTAGGTGAACTACAAATCCCAGCAACTAGAACTCCCAAATGTCAAAGTCTAGGCAAAACGTCAGGAGAGAATGCTTCTACAACATGGCCATACAGCCCGAAAAACCTACAACAACCCAGTGATTCCGGCCATGAAAGCCTTCGACAATTCATTATTATTATTATTATTATTATTATTATTATTATTATTATTCCTAATGAGTTGCTTCACATAGCAAACAAACATCCCTGCTTTTAGATAGAAGGCTTAGGTTTGGTACCCAGTGATCACCAGATTGTTGTTCATTCGTTCAGTCATCTCCGACTCTTCGTGACTTCATGGACCAGCTCACGCCAGAGCTCCCTGTCGGCCGTCACCACCCCCAGCTCCTGCAAGCTCAGTCCGGTCACTTCAAGGATGCCATCCATCCCCAGATTAGGGATGTTGTAATGAGAAATATTAAAAATAGGCATTGTTTGTTTGTTTTGATTTTATGAATGGTCCCATTCATAGAATCCTAGAATCATAGAATCCTAGAATTATCTGTCTGTCTATCTATCTATCTATCTATCTATCTATCTATCTATCTATCTATCTATCTATATATCTATCCATCCATCCATCTATTCTTTTATCTATCTATCTTGCTATCTATCTGTCTATCTATCTGTCTATTTATCTTGCTATCTGTCCATCCGTCCGTCCGTCCATCTGTCCGTCCATCCATCCATCCATCCATCCATCCATCCATCCATCCATCCATCTGTCTATCTTGCTATCTATCTATCTAATCATAGAAGCCTACAATCCTAGAATCATAGAATTATCTATCTATCTATCTATCTGTCCATCTATTCATCTATCTATCTCTTGCTATCTGTCTGTCTATCTATCTTGATATTTATCTATCCATTCATCTATCTGTCTGTCTGTCTGTCTGTCTATCTATTTATCTATCTTTCTATCTACCTGTCTATCTATCTTGCTATCTATCTGTCTAATCATAGAATCATACAGTCCTAGAATCATCTATCTATCTGTCTGTCTGTCTGTCTGTCTGTCTGTCTATCTATCTATCTATCTATCTATCTATCTGTCTATCTGTCATGTCTGTGTTTTTGTGTGTATATTTCTGTATATATGTGTGTTTGCGTGTGTGTATATATATATATATGGTGTATATATGTGTGTGTATATTTGTGTATATATATATGTGTGTGTGTATGAATGTGTATATGTATATATGTATGTGTGCATACATGTGTGCATGTGTATATGTATATGTGTATATATGTATATTTGTGTGTGCATGTGTGTGTTTGTGCATATATATCCGAATGTCTGCATGTATATATGTATATGAGTGTATGTGCATATGTATATATGGTGTATTTTGGGGATTTTAATGTCTGCTCTGCTGGGATTTTGTGTGTGTGTGTTTTTTTAGGGGTGATGGACACGCATTGGACTGTTGGGTGTATTGTGTCCAAATTTGGTGTCGATTCCCCCAGTGGTTTTTGAGTTATGTTAATCCCACAAACGAACATGACATTTTTATTTATATAGATTAATGCTATATTTGTATTGTCATATATTATCATATTTAATTATACATATCATAGTATTTAATTATAGCATATGTTTTAGTTGTAGTATATATTATAATACAGTATAATATTTAATTGCATCATAAAATAATATTTCGGCTCTGCTGAGGGCAACCGTCGGCCAGGGATTCTGTGTCGCAAGGCATCTAATGAGCACAAGCTTGTTCTCCAATGCTCAGCTCGTTGGGCAAGACCCAGCATTAGGGACGCTCAACATAAATCTCCCTATGCAGAATTATATTAATTGCACTGTGAAATCCTTAAATATGCCTGGAAGCATTGAATTACAATGCAGGCTCTCATACGCAACCCCAATGTGTATGCACACCCATGAGCAACTGTATAGTACTTGATTTCACAATCCTGAGCTGAACTTTGATGTTCTTCATTGACCAAAAAAACCCAACTGTTTCCATTGAATCCAGTAGGTTTCATGTTGGTACCAATGAGTTCGTAAACCATGCTGAACTATCTTTCCGACTGAATTCTGTCTTTGCTTCCCCTGCGACTGTAAATAGGGCCACATTTTATGGCAAATAGGCCTCTGTGGTCGATTTACTGTCCTCCAGCTCCTCGTCGATGGATTCCCATCAAGGAAAGACCCATCGCTCTTCATTAAGGATACATACTTCAACACCATACCAGTCCGGATCTACCAACCCAAAGAACCTTCTTCTGAACCAAGGAAAGGAGTCATCTTCTTTCATGGAGGAGGTGGCACATTTGGAAGCATTGGTAAGAGAAGCATAATGACCATTTCTAAGGGAACGATGTTTGGCAAAAGCCATCCTTCTTGGGAAGAGTTAGAGTTGTTGCTGGTGTCAATTTTGACATATGGCAACGGTAGGAATGAAAAAACATTCAATGAACTCACCAATAATCAAAACACAAAACTTCTATCTTGTCTTGTAAAAGAAATACATATTCTTCAATCCCAATACATGGGCCTTGTAAGTCTTTGTAGGCCAACTTCAAATCAAACACATGCCATGTAAGTCTTTTAAGGCCAACTCCAACTCAAATACAGGCCTTGTAAGTCTCTGTTGGCCAGCTCCAACTCAAACACAGGCCTTATAAGTTTTTGTAGGCAAACTCAAACTCAAACACAGGCCTTGTAAGTCTCTGTTGGCCAACTCCAATTCAAACACTGGCCTTATAAGTTTTTGTAGGCCAACTCCAACTCAAACATGGGACTTGTAAGTCTCTGTTGGCCAACTCCAACTCAAACATGGGCCTTGTGAGTCTTTGTTGGCCAACTTCAACTCAAACACGGTCCTTATAAGTTGTTGTAGGCCAACTCAAACTCAAACACAGGCCTTGTAAGTCTTAGTCGGCTAACTCCAACTCAAACATGAACCTTGTAAGTTTTTGTAGGCCAACTCAAACACGGGCCTTGTGAGTCTTTGTGGGCCAACTCCAACTCAAACACGGGCCTTCTAAGTCTCTGTTGGCCAACTCCAACTCAAACATGGGCCTTATAAGTTTTTGTAGGCCAACTCCAACTCAAACACGGGCCTTGCAAGTTTTTGTTGGCCAACTCCAACTCAAACACGGGCCTTCTAAGTCTCTGTTGGCCAACTCCAACTCAAACATGGGCCTTGTAAGTCTTTGTTGGCCAACTTCAACTCAAGCACTGGCATTATAAGTTTTTGTTGGACAACTCCAACTTAAACATGGGCCTTGTAAGTCTCTGTTGGCCAACTCCAACTCAAACATGGGCCTTGTAAGTCTTTGTTGGCCAACACCAACTCAAACATGGGCCTTGTAAGTTTTTGTAGGACAGCTCCAACTCAAACATGAATCTTGTAAGTCTTTGTAGGCCAACTCCAACTCAAACATGGGCCTTGTAAGTTTTTGTAAGCCAACTCAAACTCAAACACAGTCCTTGTTAGTTTTTGTTGCCAACTCCAGCTCAAACACAAGCCTTGTAAGTCTTTGTTGCCAACTCCAACACAAACACAGATCTTGTAAAACTTTGCTGGCCAACTCCAACTCAAACATGAACCTTGTAAGTTTTTATAGGCCAACTCCAACTCAGACACAGGCCTTGTAATAGTAATAGTAATAATAATGATGATGATGATGATGATGATGATGATGATGATGATGATGTTTTTCTTGTACCCTGCTTCCATCTCCCTGAAGGGGCTCAGGGTGACTTACATATGGCACAAAGTGCCTGAAACAGAGCATAAAATAGACACACAGTACAATACAATAAAACATATAGCATATAAAACAACAATTTAAAACTCAGAACATTGCCCAATAACCTATGGTGACAACTATCATAAGACATGGCCACACTGTAAACAAGGAATGGGATAGTGCAAATTATAGCTAAGGAACAAGGGCAGTGCTGTGTCACTGACTGTGGACCTGGGGAGGGCATTCCAAAGCCAAGGGGCCACCACTGAAGGGGCCACCACTGAGAAGGCCCTCTCCCTCGTCCCCACCAACCATACTTGTGACAGTGGTGGGAACGAGAGGAATGCCTCCCTGGCAGACATTAACGCTTGCGCAGGTACATAGAGGGGGATGTGGTCACGAAGATAGGCGGGGCCCAAACAATTTAGGACTTTATAGGTGATGAACTTCACTTTGAATTGAGACAGGAAACTTATCAGCAGCCAATAGAGCTGCTTTAATACATGCTTTAATAGATGCAGACTGCAGCCAGGAAATCAGAAGATGTTTACTTCTTGGGAGGAGAGCAATGACCAATCTCGATCAAATAGTGAAGAGGGGAGGCATCATACTGGGAACAAAGATCCACATAGTTAAAGCAATGGTATTCCCTGTAGTAACCTATGGATATGAGAGCTGGACCATAAGGAAGGCTGAGTGAAGGAAAATAGATGTTTTTGAACTGTGGTGCTGGAGGAAAATGCTGAGAGTGCCTTGGACCGCAAGAAGATCCAACCCGTCCATACTCCAGAAAAGAAAGCCCAACTGCTCCCTGGACGGAAGGATATTAGAGGCAAAGATAATGTACTTTGGCCACGACACGAGAAGACAGAATAGCTTAGAGAAGACGATGTTGGTGAAAATGGAAGGAAAAAGGAAGAGGAGCAGACCAAGGGCAAGGTGGGTGAATGGTATCCTTGAAGTGACTGGATTGACTTTGAAGGAGCTGGGGGTGGCCACAGCCAACAGGAAGCTCTGGCGTGGGCTGGTCCTTGAAGTCACAAAGAATCAGAAGCAACTGAATGAATAAACAACAAATACAGGCATTGTGTGCTCCCTATAGCCAGCTCCAGTCTGTGTAGGCCAACTCAAACTCAAACACTGGCTGTGGAAGTCTTTGTTGGTCAACTCCAACTTAAATCCAAATCTAAGGGCATTGTGTGCTCCCTATAGCCATCTCTGGGCTTTGTAGGCCAACTCAAACTCAATCACTGGCTGTAGAAATCTTTGTTGGCCAACTCCAACTCAAACCCCACCCTAGGGGCATTGTGTGCTCCCTATAGCCAGCTCCAGTCTGTGTAGGCCAACTCAAACTCAAACACTTGCTGTAGAAGTCTTTGTTGGCCAACTGCAACTCAAGCCTAGGGGCATTGTGTGCTCCCTATAGCCAGCTCCAGTCTGTGTAGGCCAACTCAAACTCAAACACTGGCTGTAGAAGTCTTTGTTGGTCAACTCCAACGTAAACCCAAGCCTAGGGGCATTGTGTGCTCCCTATAGCCAGCTCTGATCTTTGTAGGCCAATTCAAACTCAATCACTGGCTGCAGAAGTCTTTGTTGGCCAACTCCAACTCAAATATGAGCCTTGTAAGTTTTTGTAAGCCAACTCAAACTCAAAAACAGGCCTTGTAAGTCTTTGGTGGCCAACTCCAACTCAAACATGAGCCTTGTAAGTTTTTGTAAGCCAACTCAAACTCAATCACTGGCTGCAGAAGTCTTTGTTGGCCAACTCCAACTCAAATATGAGCCTTGTAAGTTTTTGTAAGCCAACTCAAACTCAAAAACAGGCCTTGTAAGTCTTTGGTGGCCAACTCCAACTCAAACATGAGCCTTGTAAGTTTTTATAGGCCAATTCAAACTCAAACACTGGCTGTATAGGTCTTTGTTGGCCAACTCCAACTCAAGCACGAGCCTTGAAAGTTTTTGTAGGCCAACTCCAACTCAAACACAGGCCTTGTAAGTGTTTGTTGGCCAACTCCAACTCAAACCCAGGCCTATGGGCATTGTGTGCTCCCAATAGCCAGCTCCAGTCTTTGTTGGCCAACTCCAACTCCAACACAACAAATACTAATACTAATATTAATACTAATACCAATTTATTTTCCAGATGCCTATGAAAGCGTGTGCTCTTACATGGCCCGGAAAAGTGATTCGGTGGTCGTGTCTATTGGGTAAGTGATAGAGGTTTGCAAAATGCCAAAAATCTGCCAAGTTTGTATTTATAAAATTCAGGCAGCCTCCGTTTTGATTGTAAAGTGTTTGAAAAATTCATAAGAGGTCAATGTTGTATCTAAAACGAAGTTTGGAAAATTTCATTAGTTTGTTGGGGATGGACCAGAGATGTCACTGCCTTGGTCCTTTCACTATTGGTTGCTACTTCCTGACGGATGTCAGGTGGTGCAATACCGGCTAAGCAGTGTAAAAAAGTTGGGGGGGGGGAAGGAAGGGAAGAGGAAGAGAAGGAAGGAAGGAAGGAAAGAAGGAAGAAGAGAAAGAAAGAGAAAAAAGGGAAGTAGGAAGGAAAGAGGGAGGGAAGGMAGGAGAGAAAGAAAAAAAAAAAAGAAAGAGGGAGGGAAGGTTGGCCACAGCAACGCGTGGTGGAAACAGCTAGTAAATCATAAAATATAGTCCCAGTGGTAAAACACAGACTTCAAACTTTTGGTGGCAGCCCTCCAGTCTGAAGTTATGTTCATACAGGTGATTTTTTTTTACGTGGAATGTAATGTAATGATGGTTGGCCTTGGCTTCACAGGTACCGCCTTGCTCCAGAGCACCACTATCCTGTCCAGTTGAATGACTGCATCGCAGCCGCCGAGTATTTCATGAAGAACATTGAAGGCTTTGGGGTCAACCCCGCTCGCATTGTCCTGAGTGGCGATTCCATTGGAGGAATGATGGCCGCGTTCCTGGCCCAAGAGCTAGCGAAGAGGAAGGACCTTCCAAAACTGCGGGCTCAGATCCTGGTGAGCCCATTCCTCCAGGCCCTGGATTTCAACTTTCTTTCATACCAAGAAAACCGGCTGGTCCCTTTTCTTTCCCAGAACGATTTCCTGCATTTGATGTTCCTCTACATCAGCAGAAACACATCGTCAACGGAGATCGCCGTGTCGGAAACCCACATCCCCGAAGAGAAGAGAGTCATCTACCAGAAGTGGCTCAATGCGGATGACATCCCCAAAGAACTGAAAGCGAGAGGGTTCTACCAGGAGTTACAGATCTCCACTTGTCCCCTGGACAATATCCACACCTTAATGAAAATGATCACAGAGACCCATATTTCCCCGCTTATAGCCGAAGATGCCATCATTCGGCAGCTTCCGGACACCTTCATCTTAACCTGTGAATATGACGTCCTGAGAGATGATGGCCTCTTGTACAAGAAACGGTTGGAGGACAACGGGATCAAGGTCTCGTGGTGCCACCTCAAAGATGGGTTCCATGGAGTCTTCCTCCTTTACAATCGCTTGTTCCTCAATTTCGCCTTCTGCCAAAGAGGATTAGATAGAGTAGTGAGCTACATCAACAGTTTGTAGGCATGCAGTTGTCCAGGTCGATGTCAGGTTAGAAGCCTTCCTCTTTTGCAATGGCCATCAGTGAGATGTGTGCGGGTCATGTTGGGTGAATCTTTGCACTACAGTGTTCCCTCACTTATTGCAGGTGTTACGTTCCAGGACCACCCGCGATAAGTGAAAATTTGTGATGTAGGGAAGCTCCTCCACTCCTCTCTCTCCCCCTCCCCCCCTCTCTCATTCACTCACTGCTGGCCAATGAGGAGGATTCAGCAACGGTAGCAGGAGGAGCAGGAGTCTGAGCGCAGAAGATCAGGACTCAGCCCAGCCTGGCAGTGGCATCAATAGCACCCAAGGGACCTCCAAGGAAGAGGAGGACGAAGAGGAGGAGAAGGGGAGCCAGGCGCTGGGCCTTACCCTTGGGCTTGTCTCCAGGCTGGGTTCCAGAGCAGCCCTCTTCGGCAGTGGCCTCCTCCTCCTCGCCACCTCCGCTACTCCTCAGCTCTTCCTCAGAGGCCCCTTGGGCACCGTTGATGCCACTGCCACCCTTGGCTGAGGCCTGGTCTTCATGCTCAGGACTGAGGCTTCAGTCCAGGCTGGCAGTGGTGTCCACAGTATCCAAGAGGCCTCCAAGGAAGAGGAGGAGACAGAGGTGGAGGAGGAGAGAGTTGCTGCTGCTGCGCTGTCGTCACTTGCTGCAAATGCTCGGAGGTACTCTGTACCGACAAGGAAGGGCCTTCGCCGGGGAGGACAGGCTCCCAGCCTCTTCTTCTTCTCCTTCAGAGGAGGAAGAGAGGTGGAGGCTTCCTCCAGGAGGAAGAAGAGGCAGCCACCATTGTGGAACTTCTCCTCGCTGCGAAGGGAGCAAGGCCTCAACGCCTCCTGGTGCTTTGGCATCCTCCAGCCCTACCATTTGCCAGTGCCTGGCTCCCCTTCCCCTCCTCTTCCTCCTCCTCTTCCTCCTCCCCTCTCCCCCATGACTCCCCGAGGGGAGAGCAAAAAACCCACCAAACAGCGAGTCTGCAATAAGTGAACCGTGAAGTAGAGAACACTGTACTTTTTAAAACCTTAAAAAAATTCTTTTGTTCTATTTCCAGTGAAACAGAGCACAGATGTTGTAATATTGTAATATTTTAAATTGTCATTGTATGTTTATTATCCATTTATATATATATTTTGAATTAAATAGTTCTTTACCGGGGACCAATCTGTTTTTATTATCTTCCTCTTATGATTTGCTTTCATCAACTTCTCAGTGCTAATTTTCTTATCTATATATCCATTTACCATTATTTTTGCCTCTTGGGGTGTGTATATTGATTCTACAGCATTTATGAAGTAATAGCCGGCATCTATTTCTTTTAGAAGGAATAACAGGTAATTCCAATTAATACTATCGAAAGCCTTCTCGGCATCTATAAATATGAGTGCCAGTTCTCTCTGATTGTTGACTTCATAGTATTCGAGGAGGTCTATAATCGTCCGTACATTGTCTTTAATACTTCTATTGGGAAGGAAACCAGTTCGTTTTCTTTAATCCAATTTTGAGGAGTGTTTTTAGTCTTTCTGCCAAAATATGTGTGAAGATTTTATAATCTAAGTTCAATAAGGAGATTGGGCAGTAGTTTCTAACTTCAGATGGCTCCAGCTACACACTTCAACTCCCATATTGAGTTATGGGAAGGAATCTTGAGGCGTCCTCTGTATGTACCTGGGGTCCTTTCAAATCACAGTAGGGTAGGCGGACACATGGTTTAAGCATGAAAAAAAAAAGGTGACGGGGAGCTGGCACCACAGAGTCACACAAGCGGGGGGGTGAAAACCAGAGCTGCCCTTCTTTTCCGGTTTAGCCTATGCTTCGCTTCTGAGACTAGGGCAGAGATTGTCTCCCTTTGCTCATATCGTGGCTTCTCCGTAGTCCTCCGCTAGCTGTTCCTGCTATGACCTTATGTTGGTCTTGGGCTCGCGCGTGGCCGTGCGCCTTATGTGTAACTGTAGAGAGGAGGCGCAGCTTCCTTTCTGGGCTTCGCTCGGGTAGTCGGAA